GCATTTAATTAAACAGCGAGTATTTCTTATCAGGATAAGCCAGTGTATTTAAACATGAAAATAACACAGGTGCTATACAAGGGCATACTAACCTAATTACAAGCATATAACATTTCAAGTCAACTGATGACTTCAGATTACCAAAGCCAAGTTCCTGTTCTGTGTGTAGAACAATCTCTAAATTCATGAGTTTGAAAGAGATTTCTTTGGTGGGTTTTGCTCCAGACTCTAAAGGAAATTAATATCCATGTGAATAACCTGAAAACGCTGAAGAATCAATGTAAAGCTGCCGTGTTCTATAGCAGTTCATGTTTAAGTAAACTGTTCTTTTCTCAAGAAGTTCTTTCTCTTTAATTACGATAAACGTTATGTTAACACATTTCATGGCTGTTGCACATAGGGGAGTGACGTGATCACAAGGGTTACTGTGTTCTACAAACACATATTGGCTGCTACCTTTCTTGCTGTTGATTTCACTGTTCATGAAATATTTCATCTGTGACGTATTGTGACTAAAATTATTCTAAATTTGATTAATGTTACTATGTCGTAAAACTCTTGTATGATTACATTTTCAATACTCTTTTTTTTTTTATTCACTTTGTAAGGATGCAATTATTTCTTCCAGTGGCTGGGCAGATTCACTGTATAAAATAAAGCTTAAAAAAATTGGGAAACATTTGTATGCTATAAAATAAAGTGTGTTTATTGGCCTATAAGGGCTTTAGAATAAGATTGAAAAAATGTATCGTGAATTTGAATGTTTATATAAACATCACAAAGTGTTTTTCATAGGAAATTTTGTGTCTTGCATTTGGACAAGCTTGTGGAATCTCATTCTGTGGTTTCAGATATGGTAACTGTATTTGTAATCAGTAAGTGGCAGTACTGATTATCTATCTTGAAGGATTTTTATGAGAAATACTTGCACTGCCTGCATATTGCAGAAATGGCCATCATCAATTTAGTAAGCAATAAGTGCTGCATTCAGACCTATAAATAAAAAAGTTACATTTGTCAAAACTTCATTAATTCTGGTCATTAGCTTAACAAATACAAATTATAACTGAAAATTATAACCGTGGGTTCAAGATGTCTTAAAACAATAATATGGACTTATGAAGGGCCGACATAGTGAAATACTGTATTTATGAGTCATTGTGTGTTCACTTCTGGCATTAGTTATTATGGTTATGCGTATTTTCAACCCTAGAAAGCAATTTAAATTAAATTATTTTTAATTCTGACATTCTCAGTTATTGTAATATCTATTTTTTTCTGGAAAGAATACACATTTAATAAGAAGAGCTACGATTATCATCCTAACAAATTGGTCTAATCAACACTGTGGTACTTTATTTACTACGAAATGCAGATATGGCATATTAAGTGCAATACTAAAGACATAATATGTGATACTTCTAATCTGTGGATTAAAACTATAGTCCCAAGTTAATATCTGATTCTAAGATATTCCTTTGTTTAATGTTGACATAGCCGTCACAGTCGCTGCGCGGTCTGAGGCGTGGGCCTTGTGCCGCTTGGTCACTGGGAGCGTGGGTTCGAATCCCACTCAAGGCACGGATGTTTGTCCGCATTTTTCTGTGTTGTGCTGTCCTATGTATAGGTAGAGGCCTTACGACGGGCTGATCACTTATCCAAGGAATCCTACCGAATGTCTATAGATCAAAGCCAATGAAAAGTTGGGACCCGCAGATGCTCAGGCTCTTGAAGAATGGGTCGTCAAAGTATCAAAGTAAAGTAATGTTGACATGCAAGGCTAAATCTTTATAACTCTTAATAAATGTATGAAGTCCCACAAAACAATGGCCCACAGAAAAACTGATAGATGAAAATACCAGATTTTATATACACTAATAAATTTGTCTGTGAAGGATTGGGGAAAGTGCCATTTTTTAAAATGTGGCAAACACAGCAACACAAAGAATAATCATTTAAAATTTAAAAGTCTGGAAAAAGAAATGGGCTCAATGTCCCTCACACATTTTCAATTAAATGGGCAATGAGCTCATATGAATATGCTGACCCCTTTGTAAGAACGAACCAATTTTTTATATACTAGGAATGGCCATTCAACATGCATGCATGAAATCAAAAATTAAAATTTCCATGTATTAAGAGTGTCGATGACAGTTTGTCAGAACAGAGTTGAAGCAGTCTGAAATCTTGGTTTAATTTGATATTTTATTACAGCTTTTAAATTATACCTTGAAGAAGTCATGTACAAACAATAAACACTGTGTTAATTAAAAGAAGATGTCACTGTTTAGAAACTAATGGTAGGACAATAGCAGACTGACCTGTAATGCCTGGGTTCTTGTTATACATTTGCATTCAAAACTTTGTTTTAAAAAACCTGACTTGTTTACCCAATTACACCCACATCTAAGCATAAATTTTAGGTTCAGTATAGGTCTCCTCGGACAGTAATTCGAGTTTGGTAAAGGTAATTAATGTTCACTACAGAAGGATGTGTCAAACACTAATCTTATGTACTGTTACTATTACTGCATATTTGGACTTGTCCATCGTCCGGTATTCTGAAAAGAGCATTTGGGACAACTGGATCCGTTTCTGCCGTTGTGCGAAAAGATGGGGAATACCTAGTCAGTTTGGTCTGTTTGAAAGAGCAAGCTTCAGTCACAGCAGTAGTCAATCAACTAAAGCTGCATAAGCAGTATGCAACAAAATTTTCTGTTGTAAATTTCAGAATACCACATGATGAGTGAAGTTCAGAAATCCAGTAAAAGTAATTGCAATATACGATGGTCAGAACACTTTAGAATTGACTTGACGTTCTTGGAAGACGGGTGGTTCAAAGCCATATCCTAACCCTCGAGGATTAATCTGGAATGCTACCTCCATAAATACTGTTTACCCTTAATATTTGATAATTCTAAACTGTCTTTGCAGACAAGTATCATTAAAATGTTCAAACTGTTTGGTGATGTATTCTGTCAGTACTTTTATAGACCCACGTATGTGCTCTTATCTTTCTGAACTATACCATATGCAATTAGTTTAATAAAAATCTTTCATAATTGATAATCAGAGGTTTACTTTAAAGCCTGCAATCAATATAAAGGTGTCTTGAAGTATAATACTTGGAATAACTTAAATGATATTTGATTACATTCTGTATTACTAGTCTGCTATGGGGAATGGTGTCTGGAGATAGTACAATACATTTTTTGTGTCACCGGTGTGTTTATAATTTTAGATGCATAGGCATAGCCGAGGTTTCATTTTATGTTCTACAATTTGTAATATTTGTTCATGCAATAGACTTAAATAGTTTACTATTCAGGCAATCTTAATACTGAAATGGTATTACTATATAATATTATAAAATATTTGAGAATGACTACATTGAAAACATTTCCCTGTTTTTTCTATTTATTTATTAGCCCCATCTAAGCTTGTCATGAACAGGTCTTTGACCAAATGGTAGTGGTTAAATCGATAATAATTGATTAATAATATTTATCATTCGTGAAAAATATACTTTCTCAGTTCCTTGTATAATGACAATGTGATATTTTCAAGGAGACTGGAAAGTGACTGCATGGAGTCCGAATTTCACCCTCACTATGCCTGTGTGTGTATGTATGTTGCTTTAAAATGCTTTTGTTTGTCTTGGACTGAGCTAAGTACTTTACTCATATGGGATTGGTGTTGTACAAAATTATCATCATTTACATTTTAGTGTGGGGCCACACGACTGTACAAAAGTATGTCCGTTGTAACGCACATCGTGACGTCCGTCATAGAATTATGATTTGTAAGTACAGACAATACTATTATTTTTTTTAAATCCTTTCAAGCTGCCACAGTAATTGGCGCTCGTGCGGTGACCTCACCTGCATCCGTACAAAAGTACGTCCGTTGCAACGGACGTACTTTGTACGGTCGTGTGGCCCCAGATTTATCATAAATTGACATCATCTTGACATACACATGGGTAGCAATGTGAGGTAAAAACTATGGTATGTTTCTTTCAGTAAACATGTGTTGGGCAAGGATATTATTATTTTTGTCAGGATGTTCTGTGGCCATGTAGGATAATTGACTTCCATACTGGTTTCTGAGAAACAGGTTTTTAATGAATCTGTATATTTTGTATCTGTTTGAAATGTAATAAAGTTTGGAAGCTGGACACTTAAAATTGACGTGTAAAAGTATGAATGATGCCTGGCATCTTGTGCAGCTAATAGAGTGTACCATAGTGGCAACATCATGC